GGCTAATCCTCTTCTACATCAAGCTAGATGATTGGTGGAAATGAGGTCTGGGGTTTCCAATGAAGTTACTTTTGAATGTTACAAAATTGCAGTGCCTGGTAGTCTTTTAAATGTTTTTGTTCTGGTGCCAGGACAGCCAAATCCAGAGAATGTCCACTTGATAATTTGGATTCACTACTATTCTCAAAGAAAATATGCATTCTGAAGATGATGAGATAGCTGAACAGGAGAAGGATGCCTTCCTACATCACAAAGGTACAGTTGACACTAAAAAAGGAAACAGCATTAGAAGGCAAATACTTATGGCATCAAGTATCAGGGATTTAAGAGATTTAGAGAGAACTATGGACCCCAAAAGACACCATCTGACCTTGCAGGCTATGTTAGGTCAGTCCTGGTTAATACTTTGATGGGATACTGCCAAAAAATACTAGAAGTTAGGTTGCAAGCAGGCTGTATTTCTGTCATAGAGGGCAGCAGAGGCCCCCGCCTTCAAGTTGGTCTGACACGCAGCGGAGAGTTCCGCAGTTCCTAGAAACCACAATTGGGACAAACTGATGAAATGTGCCCCAACAGACAGCTCAAAACAGGAACTGCACCCGGCCTCTATGCCTTTCTATCACTTTCCCCCAAGCCCTAACATTGTAACTATTCCCCTAATAAAGATACTTGAGATTGCAACTTTTAAACTTTCTCACTTGATACTTTGTGTCTCTCCTTGCCTGAACTATCAAGCTGCATGAAAGTAACCTTTTCCAGGCTCCAGGGAACCGTGAGCCTGCCTGGAATGCCTCCCTGGCGTTCTGGGGACGCCGGATCTGCGTTATTTGAAACCACGGATACGGGGTCTCTCCTTTCGGATCTCGGTATCCGCAAAATCACAAAATGGCGGATTGGCTCCATTTTAATGTCATATTTTTCTGTACTAAATTCTAAACCTATCTGCTATCTCGCTTTTCTTATTTTGGATCCCTACACCCGGGAAATAACCTCTTGAGTTTTGAGAATATATTTTATTAGAAACAGCTGACTGTCAAAGTGCTGGTTCCATGGCTGCTGGTTCATTGCTCCTCTCCGCCTCTCGCCTCTGCCAAGCTCCAGACCCGGGGACTTGATGTGGTTCCCCCATGGGACTTCGGAGAGGAGCCTGGCCGGGGGGGCCCAGACCCTGGGAAGAGATTCTAGTTTTCCAAGGACCAAAGTGTGAATCCATTGCAGCGCGGCCGGAATTCCATCTGCCAGCCTTTGCAAAGATCAAGGACTTTCTGCTGGCTGTTTGGAACTTCAGAAAACACCATTTCCCCATGAACTTTCTTCAGAAATATTGAAAATTAATTCTTTACTAAATATACTTGGGATGTGGGAAAAAGATGGGGTTTTGCTGCTATGAAATGTTTATGATTTGAATGTATGTGCCTTCCTATGAATTATCTTTTGCCCTTTGTCTCACCCTCGGCCCCTTGCCCTAGAGAGGTGACCAGGAAAACAAACCAGTGCCCGAGGGGGCTGTTGCCCCCACAAAACCAACATTCCATGGACGTTTGCATGGACAATAGCAAAGGAAGTTTTCTATTGATTTTCTGAGTTGGTCTGATTGATAGACACTTCCCAAGGACAAGTTTTGATTATTACAAACAATGCGGGCCAGACTGTCTTCTGCCCAGTTCCGTCTTCCTTTACCCAGCACACAAAGCAAACTTCTGTTATCAGATCAGGGACAGGAAAACTCTTCTTAAATCAATCAACTTTTTCATCAGCAAGACAATAGCTCAATGCCCCAGCTGGCCGAATCCCCCCGGACGCAGGGACACGTAGGTTTCAAGATGTCATAATCCCATTACGCTCTATTTCCCTAATCGTCCCACCTCCTCTTCCCTGATTCGTCGATCCCCAGAAGCGGGGAAAGCATCCTGATAGGCTCCCCAGAAGTGGGGAAACCTTGTGATTGGCCCAGGCTAGGGGCGGGCCGCCAAGCCTCCTCCCAGCTGTTCAAGCCACCAGCCAATCACTATCGAGCCGGGCGGGGAAGAGAGGGCAGGAAATTTGAAATCTCTGTACATGTTTTGTCTATAAAAATGCTTCCAAACTTTGTATTGGCATGCTTGCATGTGAATGATCACTGCAATTGCATCCGCTTCAGCTGAATCGCTCAATAAACCTCGGTGCCACTTCTTCGCCTTGGCAAGAGTCTCATTTCAATTATTAATATTAGTAAAATTGCTGGAATCAGGCTTCTCTGATGGTTCGCCAAGGTTGCGGATCCTCTTTGGTGCGGTCCTAGGGGTCTCTCTTACTGGGGAGACCCTCCAAAAGTCTAGATTGACTTCATTTCTAGAAGAAGGAACTAGTAAAACAATTCCTGTGTTGTAGGTTTTTTCGGGCTGTATGGCCATGTTCTAGAGGCATTCTCTCCTGACGTTTCACCTGCATCTATGGCAAGGATCCTCAGAGTTTGTGAGGTCTGTTGGAACTAGGAAAATTGGGTTTATATATCTGTGGAATGTCCAGGGTGGGACAAAGAGCTCTTGTCTGTTGGAGCTATGTGTGAATGTCTCAACTGACCACCTTGTTTAGCATTTGATGGCCTGGCAGTTTTTTGGTGTGGCTTGTTAGTGTCTGGGAGAATCTTTTGTTGAGAGGTGTCCCTGATTGTTTCCTCTCTGGAGTTTCCCTGTGTTGGGGTGTTGTTTTGCTGTTATAATTTTAGAGTGTTTTTTAAATACTGGTAGCCAGATTTTGTTGATTTTCATGGTTTCTTCTTCTACAATACCATTGTATATAATAGAACTTGAGCATCCACACTTTAAAAAGTATCCACGGATATCTCCTCAATATGACATCCCTTCAAATATGTAAACATGGATATCATCCTGATTCCCTCTTCCTAACTGTAAGAGCTGTTCTGCAGAGGGACTCTCTGCCTCAGAATGTGGCATGTACTTCTTCCTTGAAGGCTTTTAAATAGAGGCTGGGTGGTCATCTGTTGGGGGTGCTTTGATTGTGCTTTCCCTGCATGGGCCTTGGACTAGATTGCCCATGTGGTCTCTTCCAACTCTATTGTTCTATGATTACCATCTTTTCTCCAAGGTAAATAAATATATGCAACTCCCTAAGCCACTTCTCATAGGACTTGACTTCCAAACCTTTTATCATTTTGGAACCAAGGGGGCACAATGGGTTGAACCCTTGTGCTGCTGAACTGCTGATCTGAAGGTTGGCAATTGGAATCCGCAAGACAAGGTGAGCTCCTGTCTATCAGCTCCAGTTCCCGCCAACATAGCAGTTCAAAAACATGCAATTGTGAGTAGATAAATAGGTAGAACTTTGGCGGGAAAAGGCAAAGAGGCACTCCAAGCAATCTTGTGGATCACACAACCAGATAACAATGCAGGCTCCTCAGCTTGAAAATTGATAAAGCACCTCCCCAGGGCCAGAGATGACCACTGCCGGAAATGAAAGGAGAAGCCTCTGCCTTTGTTTGTGTGTCTTTGTATATGATTGTAAAGGCATCAAATGTTTGCCTATGTATGTGTGGCGGAGACTCTTTCTTTGGAAGCTTTTAAACAGAGGCTGGATGGCCATCTTTCAGGGGTGATTTGAATAAAATATCCCTGCTTCTTGGCAGGGGGTTGGACTGGATGGCCCATGAGGTCTCTTCCAACTCTTTGATTCTATGATTCTATGTAGATGCTGTAATCCACTCTGAGTACCCTAGGGGAGAAGGGTGGAATATATAAAAAGTGTATTGTGATTACTATTATTATTTTGGTCGCCATTCTCTGGACATGTTCCAGCTTGTCAATATTCTTCTTGAATTGTGGTGCTTAGAACTGAACATGGGATTCCAGGTGAAGTCCGATGAAAGCCCCATCTAACTTCAAACTGTTATTTATTTATTTATTTATTTATTTATTTATTTATTGTATTTGTATACCGCCTTTCTCAGCCTGTCAGCGACTCATGGCGGTTTACAACAAATCATTACACATAACATCACAATACAGGTTAAAAACATTAAAACAACATAAACCACAGCAGAAGCAATAAAAACATCATCATAAGCATCTCCTTATTATAAAAACATTGCCCAATAGACATCAAACACGCAGGAAAGTGTGCAAAAGAAAGCCCTTAATGTACATCATCTATGGTTTTTAGAATCATTATCCAGACCTCAAATTGGTTCCAGGATTTGCTACGTAATCATCAGCACAGCAAAACCACTTTTTAAAATGCCAGTTTGGAGATATTCTTCTAATTTGAATTTTCTTGTACCTGCTCCTTTTTCAGTGTTTGTTTATGCAGATGTTATCAGCTCTTGGTTTTTCCCTTTCTTTAATTGGTATGTTGTTGTTCATTCGTTCAGTCGTCTCCGACTCTTCGTGACCTCATGGACCAGCCCACGCCAGAGCTCCCTGTCGGCCGTCACCACCCCAAGCTCCTTCAAGGTCAGTCCAGTCACTTCAAGGATGCCATCCATCCATCTTGCCCTTGGTCGGCCCCTCTTCCTTTTGCCTTCCTTTCCCCAGCATAATTCCCTTCTCTAGGCTTTGCTGTTTCCTCATGATGTGGCCAAAGTACTTCAACTTTGTCTCTAGTATCCTTCCCTCCAATGAGCAGTCAGGCTTTATTTCCTGGAGGATGGACTGGTTGGATCTTCTCGCAGTCCAAGGCACTCTCAGAACTTTCTTCCAACACCACAGCTCAAAAGCATCGATCTTCCTTCGCTCAGCCTTCCCTAAGGTCCAGCTCTCACATCCGTAGGTTACTACAGGGAATACCATGGCTTTGACTAGGCGGATCTTTGTTGCCAGTCTGATGTCTCTACTCTTTACTATTTTATCGAGACTGGACATTGCTCTGCTCCCAAGAAGTAAGCGTCTTCTGATTTCCTGGCTACAGTCTGCATCTGCAGTAATCTTTGCACCTAGAAATACAAAGTCTGTCAAATTGGTATAGACTAATTTAACTAATTCTTTTGATTCCTCTCACCTTATCATTTAGCACGGGATAAAACTGAAAAACAGCTATTGTTCCGGATAACGCTGATTATAAGTGCAACTCTCCTGTCGGTTATATATATAGTTGCCTTCATTATAACTGCAGATTATATATCGCACGGTAAGTGATTCAAGTTGTGATTATTATTTCTTGAAATCTGATTTATTCTCACAACCACATTCTATTCCATTCATAAATCCCAGCAATTTGTTTGTTTATTCCTTGGCATTCAGTCAATGTTTCAGAGCCTCACCAAAGCTATAAGATGATCTTCTGGCAAATTCCCACGTTGTTAAGAAGTGGGTCTTTTATCCAAACTATCATCTAGTCCATAAAAGCTGGCAGAATATCAACCTGCAGAATAGCTCCTACAGACAGAGGAATAGGCAGAAGCTCTGGTTTAGGATGAACACTCCCTAAGGGTTCAGGTCATAATTATTCCTGATCATTCAAAGGAAGTTGGCTTGATTTATGTAATGATTCTACAGCAGGCCATGATAGCTGCTGCAGAAAATAGACACAGAAGTGACATTTGGAATTTGTGTACAGCCAGTTGTCTCCATTCAGTGTAGTTACAGGCACCCTCTGTGAAAGTGAAAGTGAAAAACTATTAAGAATGTAACTGCATTTTTTTAACCTGAGAGAACCTCTCTCTGGAAATTTCCATGTCTTCCAGCATTACTCTATGGTCAACCACTGCTGGAAGGTGACCATTAAATCGCATCGGATGAACACTAGAGATCTCTAGAGTTGTTTTCTCTAGGAATCTCCAGATCCTCAAACATGGCTGGAGGAAGTCACACTGGAAGATCTAGAGATTCCTAGAGAACATTTTAAATCAAATCCACAAAAGTCAAAACTGCAAATGTGGATGGACGGCCATGCTAATTTCAAAAGCATCCAAGCCCTAATAGGAATGCTGGATTTCTTGGTTCTAAAAGTGAATGTCAATACAGCAGGTACATACAATGGTACTTGGTAGAGAGATTATTCTGATTATTCTACATTTTCAGCTGCTTATAAAATAGCCCAATTTCTCGCTTCACATCCTACATATTCCCTTTACCCTGACTTTAGTTCAGTTTGCAAACCGAGGCCCCTTCTACACTGTCCTATATCCTGGGGGTCCGATCCCAGATCTTCTTATACAATATTATATTGCAGTGGGGACTCATATAATCCAATTCAAATCAGATAATCTGGGATCAGATCTTAGGATAAAAGGACAGTGTAGAATGGGGCTGAGCAAAGTACAAAAGTGCCTAAGGGCCCTTCAGACAGGCCCTATATCTCAGGATCTGATCCCAGGTTTTCGGTTTATCCCAGATTTTCTGTCAGTGGGGACTCATATAACCCAATTTAATACAGAAAACCTGGGATCAGATCCTGGAATATAGAACCTGTCTGGATAGGCCCTTAGACTCAACCATGGCCTCATATACCCTTCCATATGATGCAGTTTGAAACTGTATTATATGACCAGTGCAGACTCATATAATACCGTTTAACTGCATTGAACTGCATCATGAGTCTACACAGATGATATAATGCAGGTTCATCAGCCAGGGAGGTGGGGAGGGGGGAGGAATTGCCCTTCCCAGTGGGCTCAGGCAAAAACAAACTTGCTGCAGCCTCTTTCACTTGTTTGTGCTTCCTCCTTAATAATATTTGATATGTCTGCTACATTCTGATGATGCCTGGCTTTTATGGAAATGTAATGTAGTGGTGAGAGACAATAGATTATGGTCCTCTCTGTATAAGGAACTTTATAGGAAGAAGGGTATCTTAGGGTGCATATCCACTGTAGAATTAAAGTCGTTTGGTCCCACTTTAACTGCCATGACTATGGAATGCTAGGAGTTGTAGTTTGGTGAGACACCAGTACTCTTTGGCAGAGAAATCTAAGGACTTTGTAAAATGACAATGCCATTGTGTTGTCGAAGGTTTTCATGGCCGGAATTACTGGGTTGTTGTAGGTTTTTTGGACTGTATGGCCATGTTCCAGAAGCATTTTCTCCTGACGTTTCGCCTGCATCCATGGCAGGCATCTTCAGGGGTTGTGAGGTCTGTTGGAAACTAGGAAAATTGAATTTATATATCTATGGAAAGTCCAGGGTGGGAGAAAGAACTTTTGTCTGTTGGAGCTAGGTGTGAATGTTTCAACTGACCACCTTGATTAGCATTTGATGGCCTGGCAGTTTTTAGGCATGGCTGCTTATGGCCTGGGGGAATCCTTTGTTGAGAGGTGATTAGCTGTACCTGATTGTTTCTTGTCTGGAGTTCCCCTGTGTTTGAGTGTTGTTTTTTTATTTACTGATATAATTTTAGAGGGTTTTTTTAATACTGGTGGCCTGATTTTGTTCATTTTCATGGTTCCTTCTTCTACAATACCATTGTCTAGAATAGGACTTGAGCATCCACACTTTTTAGTATCCACGGACATCTTATGTTGAAATTACTCTTGATACCACGAAGACAGCAAAAGCTAGACAAAAAGCTAGACAAAGGATATCCATGAAATTAAGCTTGTTTTTCAGGCCACTGGCTAATTGTCTATTCCTTTTGCAGCAGAAAATCATAACAAATTAGGCCACGGTTGTGTTTGTCCAACATGCCCAGATGACTGGATTGGATACAGAGGAAAATGTTATTTCTTTTCTTTGGAAAAAAGGAATTGGACCTCAAGTCAAGACTTTTGTTCTTCACAGAAGGCCTCCTTGCTCATTTTCAGTGATAACAGGGAAAAGGTAAAAGGCACAAGTAGTGGTCTTATTCTGTTGGGAGGGCTGCAAGGCAAATGACTCATTACTGTCCTCCCTCTACATTTGTAGGGGTTGACCTCCACAAAAGTGAAAAAACTATAATTTCTTTTAAAAGAAACCAAAGATCCTTCAACATGACTTTATGGCCAACATCCAATAGAATTGTTCTGGAATAATAATAATAATAATAATAATAATAATAATAATAGATTTCTAGGCCACTCTTTTTCCCTTGAAGGACTCATAAAAAGGCAAATATTCAATGCCTCGAAATGGGTACAAACACATCAAAATAATACAGGATAATGGATAGTAACAGCAGAAAACTTACAACATAGGAATTAATCACCAAAATAAAATAAAAACAGGAACAATCCACTAAGACATAAAAAACTAAAACATAAGTAAACATTACAATATACACCCTAAAAGCAAATTAAGAGACATTACATTAAAAATGGCTGATACCAGTGCTTCATTTAAGATGTATCACAACAGCCATATAATACAAGTGGGTTAGCAGCATTTAAAGTGTCCTAGTCCTCTTCCTCTCCATTTGCTAAAATGAATAGATGCATTTTTAGAAGTTTCTTAAAGGAGAGAAGGGTGGGGGCCATTTTTTATATCTATAAAGAGGGAGTTCCAGAGACAGGGAGCGATCACAGAAAAGGCCCCCTCTCTCATTTCCACCAACCAAGCTTGTGACGGGGGTGGGACTGAGAGAAGGGCCTCCTCTGTAGACCGCAGTGCACATCATGGTCTACAGGGAGGTGCAATTAGACAAATAGCTATTAAGACTTCTAAATGTCTACAGAAGTTTTCTCTTTAGGAATTTCTAGGTCCTCCAGAAAGATTATAGTTAATTTCAGCAGGAAGGTGACTTGGAGAACCTAGATATTTCTAGAAGTAACATATTAATCAAATCAAATCTGCAAAAGTGTAATCTGCAAATATGGAGGTATGACTGTAATTATAAATGCAATGAAGTTTTGATAGCACTATTCCCCCAAAATAGCATACAAATAGTATGGGTGCTTCCATGTGGGGCATTTGTACCCTATTCTTCATTCATTCATTCATTCATTCATTCATTCATTCATTCATTCATTCATTCAGGCATTGAATGTTTGCCTTTTATGCTTGGAATCTGCCCTGAGTCCTTTTGGGAAGATAGAGCAAAATATAAATAAAGCTATTATTGTTATTAACTACTTACATACTACTCTCTTGTTAAAAGAACTCTACTGGTTTATGAGAGCATTTCAAAGTTCTGGTTATGACCTATGTAGCTCAGGTCCAGTTTACCTGACAGACCATGTCTCCTCATAGGAGCCTAACTGGCTTTTGAGAACATTAAGAGAGGCTCCTCTCTCAGTCCCACAACTATATGGGACAGAGAGGACCTCCTCTAGGGCTGCCCCTAAATCCTGGAGTTCCCTTTCAAGAGAGGCTAGAATTACCCTTTCCATGCTGTCCTTCCATCAACAGGCAAAAGGCTTTTTATTCCAACAGACCTTTAATACAGAATTTTTAAAGATCTGGCTAGGAAGTGGGGTGTTGTATGGTTTCCGGGCTGTATAGCCATGTTCTAGCAGCATTTTCTACTGATGTTTTACTTGCATCTGGGGCTGGCATCTTCAGAGGATCTGAAGGTGGGATACAACATAATTAAAACAAGAGATAAAAATATTCTTAAAAGAAATACAAGATCCACAGAATTATAGAATTATAGAGTTGGAAGAGACCTCATGGGCCATCCAGTCCAACCCCCTGCCAAGAAGCAGGAATATTGCATTCAAATCACCCCTGACAGATGGCCATCCATTAAAATACAACTTAGAATCCATTGACAAAATGCAGATTAAAATTTAAAACTGAAAATTGACTGGGTAAGCCTACTTGATGAGATGCCCCTTCAGTTGTATCTTCAATTCCTGCACAAAACGTGCCTTTGTGCCGGAACTGAACGAGCAACGGAATATCGCCATGATTTCCATAGCTCTACATTCTTTGCAGAAATACAGTTCACAGAAATACAGACCACAGAAAATATTAAAAGAATAAGCAGAAGTACGGTAAATACAACTTTTAAATATTATTAGCATTTCTCATACGTGTATCAGTTTCTGCTTTGCTCTCTTGTGCACTTTGCAAGTTCATTCTTTAACATCTGTTCTTTCTGATTTTGACAGGATTTTGTAATGCAGTACAAAGGAAAAGTCCCATCTTGGATTGGCTTCCGAAAAAATCCAGATCAGGTCTGGCAATGGACAAATAATGAAAACACAATGTGAGTTCTCCTTATATTTATACTTATATTGATCTTGAAGTCATCTAGCCACTCATGCATACAAAATGTAGGTAGCTTTCAGAGGGCTCAAGAGAAACTACATACATTATTAATTAACTAAGCAAATAAAATACAGTCTTGAAGAAAATACCCTAAGGAGAGACAAATTAGTCATAACTGAGCATATCCCATGAACACAAAATGTGGAGAATTGAGAAAAATAGTAAAATGGATGGAGAGGAAATAAAATTGAGTATCTCAATGTAGTGGCTTTTGTGATCATGTGAGGAAACCTGATGAGGAGAAGAAATTGATACTAATAAACCCACTGATTTAAACATACAAAAAAGCATTTGAAAACTGTTATAGAACAAGAGTTGTCGAAGGCTTGCATAGCCAGAATCACTGGGTTGCACTGAGTTTTGCAGGCTGTATGGCCATGTGCCAGAAGCATTCTCTACTGAAGGTTTCACCCACATCTATGGCAGGCATCTTCAGAAGTTGTGAGGAAGTGAGGTTGTGAGAGTGAGTTGAATGTTCACCTGCCTTGCTCTAGTAATTTCTGAGTGGGGGGTGGGAAAATATTGGATCCAGAAAAAACAATAAGGTGAAAGTTCAGTTGAACTTAAGCAATATCAGCCCAGTTGGTTAGTGCAGACTCCAACCCACCACTGTGGGTTTGGGAAAGCCCATGTGGCTGTGTCTGGGATCCATCTGATTCTGGATTTACCAACCAGTGTAGACATAGCCTTAGAAGAACTGATTTCATCATATCCTTGTTCTAGTATATCCACTTTCTGTGCATAGATGCAGGACATAAATGAGAAAAAATATCTGAGAACTGGCCATGTACGTAAGTCTGGGGTAGTAATTGTGCAGTCCTCCAGATATTGCTGAAAAGGATTTCCCAACATTTCTTGCCATTGAAGATGCTCCCTATGCTTGGTAGAAGATTCACTTCAGAGAGTTTTAGGAATTTATCTGGGATAGATAGATAGATAGATAGATAGATAGATAGATAGATAGATAGACAGACAGACAGACAGACAGACAGACAGACAGACAGACTGATGTGAACATGCATGACAGCAATCTAAGGTTTTGACCATGGATTCATTCTCTGAAAAGTTGCATGGATATTGAATTTGGATGTCACCTGGGACATAATAAGGCCTTGCAAATTACCATGGCCTGAATTTTCTTAAGGTATTTAGGTAAAAAATGTATCCTTTGTTTGACACAGTTCTGTGCTGTTTCATTACAGAAAACTGAACGTCATTGGAAAAGGTGGGGATTGTGCTTATTTAAACAGTGAAGGCACTGCCACAGCTTCAAGATGTAGCATAGAACTACGTTGGATTTGTGGCAAACATGATCTATGTAATAGATCAAATTGAGTATAACCCATGTTCCTTCCTGCAAGCAACTCCAAGCTGCCAACTTATTCTGACAAGAGCTGCAACCAAACTGAGCCCAGCCTGATTTACTTGTTCAAGCTCCTCCACTACTTGTATTATCTCCTCATGCCAGAGGTATTGCAGATTAAAACTGACTGGATCCATTTATTTGTGGGATGCTCAGGTTATCACCAAATGGAGCTGGGAATTTTATTGGGATATTTTTCAGGACAAGCGTTGTTTTTCCTCCTCAGCCTCAGAATAAATTGTGGAATACACTGACACAGGCTGTAAAGGACACCAACTCAGAAAGTTCTGAAAGAAAATTAGAGAAATGTATAGTTCATCTCTAGCATCTTTCTTGTGAGTAGCAGAGAAGGTCCTTAGTCCATTCCAACAGCATTATTATTACTGATTGGCAGTCGCTCCCCAGAGACCACATCGTGTTTGAGATGAACTTAGAGCAGTGATTCTCAACTTAGGGTCCCCAGATGTTTTTGGCCTTCAATTCCCAGAAATCCTAACAGCTAGTAAACTGGCTGGGATTTCTGGGAGTTATAGGCCAAAACACCTGGGGACCCACAGGTTGAGAACCACTGACTTAGAGCTTTCTGCAACCAAAGCATGTTCTCTTGCATCTGTCACTAATCTGAGATTATGCTGTCTCCAGTCTGAAAAGTGACATAATTTGCCATAATGTTGCACCCCAGCCGGAATTCATTTTCAGCACCAGCCAGGAATCCAAAAGGACTTGTTAAAACCGTTTATTGAGAAAAGCACATATAAAGAGGAGAAGTCACCATAAGAAATAAGAAAGGAAAAATAGTCAGTAAGTAATAAGCCAAACCAAACTGGCAGTATGAAAAACACTCCAAAGGTAATAATCCAAACAGTTCAAATCTGTTCCATAAAACAAGGTACAGGACTACCAGAATCAAAACATGAACATGAATCCAAAAGCTAGACTACAAAAACTTCTTAAACCATGAATTAACTATGACATGAACTGAAAACAAGGCTTGAGATCCTCACTGTTGTGCAATGTTGCCTAAGGGAATAATTCTCTGATTTGAGGTCCACAAAACATGAAGACATGTCTGTGACCTTGACTTTATTGCCTATAAGATCTCTCACATTTCTGCTTCTCATGGAGTCGCTGTGATTTTCTTAATTTGCTTGCTTCTTCTCTAAGATGAAGCCTGAAATTTCTGCTGACCACAGGTGTGTTCTCAGGTGAACTTTTTCATCCATCCAACTCCTTATCTGGGTTTGCTATGAGACAACTAGACAAAAAGTCTTCTCTGGCCGATGCATCTCCCTGTCTGCCGGACTCTGAGGCAGTTTCACTTTCAAGCCCATTCTCACAGACAGGATCTAAACTCCCCTTAGTTCCCTCATTTTCCTAATTGAAAAACCCCACTTTCCCAAGCTCTGGAATAACAATCCACTTATCGCCATCAGCTGGTTGAACCACAACACATAACTCTACATCATTACAATCAGGAGCCCCCGGTGGCCCAGTGGGTCAAACCCCTGTGCCGGCAGGACTGAAGACCGACAGGTCACAGGTTCGAATCCGGGGAGAGGTGGATGAGCTCCCTCTATCAGCTCCAGCTCCTCATGCGGGGACATGAGAGAAGCCTCCCACAAGGATGATAAAACATCAAATTATCAGGGCATCCCCTGGGCAACGTCCTTGAAGACGGCCAATTCTCTCACACCAAAAGCGACTTGAAGTTTCTCAGGTCGCTCCTGACACGACAAAAAAAAATCATTACAATCAAGGAGGCTGCCATACAAACATGCACATGGCAATTGTGTCCCCAGAGATGAGGTGGGGGCTTAGGGGGGAAGGTATACCACATGTTTCTGTTTGATGTATCACCTTCCTTCTTTTGCCTGGGTGAAACAGATTCTCATGACACACAGGAAAAAGAAGAGCCAGCCCCACATGCCACTTCACGTACGCTGTGGATCGAGCTCCTTTTCTTGTCAGTCACAAATGCCTGCTTTGCCCAAGCAAAACAAGGGAGGTACTGAGGAAAACAGAAATACATGGCATGCAACAAGAGAGAAAGAAGCTTTCTGTAGGGTAAGGAAAGTGGCATGCAGGGACTGCTACTCTCCCTCTTGCCCTAGAACCATGCTGGATAGCGTTCCCCCCATGCAGTAGTGGTTGATTATTATATTATACTAGGGTTTTTTTCACTTTCATGGTTGGGGATGGGGACTGTGCACATAATCTTCATGAAAGTGCATAGATTGCTGCAAGATGCTACTGCTGCTATATCACATATACCTCTTTCACTATATGATTAGGAGATTCTTAAAATCAGCTTTTCTGAAATCCAAGATTCATGTTTTTCTGTATACTTTTCTTTGGCCTGCCCCTCAGTCATGAATTCTAGCATTAAATGGTCACACTTCTCTAAAGCGCCAAATGAACTCCTCCCGACCCAGATGGTTTGGCTCACATTCAGGATTGCTATATAAATTTTTTTTCCTCCACCTTTTGAAAGAAGAAGTTATATCTGCCAACAATTTCTTGTCAATCTTTAACAGAACCAGTCTCCTAGCAAATATCACCTTCAGCTGTGATGTTTTAAAGTAGGGTATGAGTCACTTTGAAAGAAAAGCAGGTGATAAATAAATTAAATAAATAAATAGTAAATGTAATAATTAAACTCTCAACTCTCAACTGTCATCTTGAACAATTTGAAATGGATATTCTACATTATAGATTTGTTTATAATACCCAAGTTCAGTTGAGTACATCCTTTTGCATTTGTTTCTCATTGGCCAAGAGTCCATACTGGCAGAGTGTAAACCTCTGCCATGCACAGTTGCATACCCTCTTCCATTCCCATGTGCTCAGTCCAACAGTCTTCAAGTGGGGCTTCCCTACCCCAAAGCCATTTAGGAGGCAGAAGAAGAAGGGGATAAATATATGGTTGTATTCTGTAGCTGGGTGTAGAAAGTGGGCATCTCCTACCTCCTGGACTTCCAGAAGACTCCCATGAGATCCAATAGGATGTCTGTTCCTTCTTGCAGCAGGGAATCAGCTGGCTACTAATAGGCCACTCTTGGCTACTAAGGATCCTTTCATACCACAACCAACCAGCTCTATACACATGGGTTTGTTTCATTTCCTACTAAATTCTGCTGTTTCTCCAATTCTTAAGAACTCTTCACTTGATCCTTCTTTTCTTTCTAATTATCTGCCTGCTTTACTGTTGCTTTTTTTGCCTGTTGGAAATAGCAACCTTTTCCAAGCTTCCACTAGTAATTTGTTCTGTATATGATTCTGTTTGCTTACTGTATTGTATATGCATGTTTTGGTATGCAGTTTTCCCTTTACTCTGTGTTTCTTGAGGTTGTGGAAGGAGCTGCAGACCACATGATCAGATCTGGGACTACTAAGATCTGAGACTCCATTTTAGAACACAGAAAAGCTTTAGACATGAGACGGTTTTGTTCTAAGACTTCATTAGAGCAAAGACTCCACAACAGACACCATGAGACTATGGACTGTTAAGAGCAAACTCATGTCCCTCTTGATTATAAGAAAGATGCCCTGTGTTATCTGCACAAAGAAACTACTTCAAACCCATCTGTAACTGGATTGACAAGTTATGTAGCTGTATGCTGAATACATTAAGGTTGTGAGTAAACAAGATATGTTACTTTTAACAAAGTCTACTTTATTTTTGTCTCCTGAGAGCATGATATAGAAATGTTGGAGAGTAGCTGTTTTGTGCAATGAAAAGAAACATTTCTAAAGAACTGCTATTTTTTGTGCATTGCCATAATCTCTGTTCCTAACAGATCAGGGACAACTAGGTTATCAGTCTAAGAACTGAAAAGCCAAATTGTCTTGCATAAGTACGTGTGGATATATACCACTGAAGAGAAGATTTTACTCAAATGAGTTTTTTGTTTCTTTTATTTTTACAAAAGATTATGATTTTCAAATGGTTGTAAATGCCATTTTTCTCCAAAAGGTTATGGAGATTTTGGTTTTCCAAGAGTTTATGAGCTCTAAAAAGGTCATGCCATCCAGAGCAATACCGAATCCCCCACTCAGCTCCAAAACATGATTCTGAATATTTAAAAAAACCAAGAACGTCTATTGTGCTGGTACAGCTGTACGAGGAGCTCCAACTTTATTTTTTTCTGTTATCTGTTTGCAGTCATAGGGCAGGCCACCTGTCCGTCATAATTAAGCTTTGGTTCAACCCCTTGTTCAGGGCTCTGGGAGGGAAAGGGTTAGGGTTAGGGTTAGGGTCCTGTAGAAAAACATCCTTTCTCAAGAACATCCGGGGAAACAGAAATTCCAGGAAAAAAGGTCCCAAAGCTCTGGCTGAGAGCTCACAGCCTCTCAGCCTCACAGCATCAGAGGGAAAACCTGAAGTTTCAAAGAATTCTCGAAGGGAGGACAGCATTACAGATCCATGGAACTCCAGCTGAAATATCTACAAGCCTCGGCTGGTAGGTCTACTCGATGCCCAGACACATTTGGAATCGGTAGTAGGACCCACACCGATGAGGCATGGATAGTAGACAGCCTGGGAGAGGTTAAACAGGGTTTTTTTCTTACAGAGAAAGTACAGTAAACCAAGGTAAGGTACCAGTCCATTGAGGACTAGACTAAGAAAGCCTTGAAGTGTTGTTTGAACCATTGAAGATTTGTTGTTTGTTCCATAATAAAGACTTTGTTATATCATTAAAGACTCTAAAGGCCATCACTTCAGAAAAATCCCTGAGAACCCCTCTTTGAGGCACCCCGGCTTCCCACTGGGCTTAAAGTATAGGTCCTATACAAAAGACAATTGTTACAGGCCCAGCGTGTGACAGAACATCTATAGAGGATATAATGAACATTAAAAGAGAAAGAAGTCCTAGTATGGCTTTATTACCATTATATAATAAACAATTGATAAAAGAGGATAAATATGTGATAACAAACTTATTAACAATAGCAAGACTCCTTATAGCAAGGAATTGGAAAGGAGAAATAAATATACAAATAGAGGAGTGGTACAAGGAAGTATGGAAATTGGCAAGAAACGATAAGCTGGCATGTATATTAAAAGTTAAAAGAGGTATATGGAAACAAAGCAATTTTGATGAAGCATGGAAAAAACTTATTGAAAAAAGATTTAAAAAGAAAGAAGGAAAGTTATCTCCACAAGAAGAACTGAAATTTTGGGCAGATGATATGTAAAAGCTGTGGCTTGGGAGAGGAGGGGAGCACAGTGGTGAGTGATAGATAATACATATAAGCAGAAA